CAAATTGTAATAAATCAACTGGAGGAATGAGCCTGCACTTCAAACAGATGAAATACTATCAAGATGCTGAGAATATTTGAGTTTTACATTTTTTAAAGATGCTACTCTTTTCACTTTCACTCACACACATCTACTTGTGCTCTTGTTTCTGTATCCAGCAGCAACCGTGTGGCATGTGGGGCTGACGTGGTGGTCTGCAGGTCCCCTATAGAGTGCTTCAGTCAGGGTCTAAGGCAGGGTCAGGATATTTAGCCCCTTGTCCCCCGCACCCTTGTGGTGCGCTCCATGAGAACCCAAACAGAACAGAGGTGTTGAAGAAAACACAGAGGCCTGATTGTTACTGCCTCGGGTTGAACTCCCACAGCCTTAAAACCTCCAATCGTTTCAGACGGGCAGAATGAGCAACTGTCAGCCGCGTTCTGTAAATACGTAGACGGGTTTATTCAAACGTCGGAGGGAAATCGGCCTGTTTTGCAGTCCGCGAGCGTTCGTGGYGTTTCTGTCCCATTGAGGTTTGGATGGGAAAGCCATTCGTGGCACAATCTGCAGCTCCTTTGCCACAGAGGTTGACAGCTGAAACAAGGGAGCAGACTGGTGGACAGGACAGCCCGCTGAGTGATGACTGTTTCTTATTGGCACTTATTGACCAGAACAAAGCCCCCCTACAGTGTCACATCCCAGCTAAATGGATTACAAACACATCAGACAGGACTCACTGTTCCACCAAACTAACTGTCTTATTAAGACCTCAGAGCAGGAAGCTGACCTCTGTGCGACACGGTGGAACTTCAGGATCATTAMCAGACCAAATATTGCTCAAACCCTTCAGAACTCCATCACACTAAACAGGTTTGCTGGGTGCTGGGTGTTACTGCCAACGTTTTATTTGCTTTTCAGTATTGCAGCGATCGTTCTGTGTCTGCCTCTAACTCATAAGCTGCTCACCAGCTGGTAAAATGAGCGCCTGTTTCACAAAGCTCGGAGGTTTTCAGCTGTCATTTGTTTTGTTTTAATTACATGACATCCCTCCTCCCCGCCCTCCTTATATCAGCACCTGCATCAGGTCCTTCTCCTGATGATTACTGATAGTGTCAGCTTTAACTTTCAGTAAACAACTGCTGCATGCTCAAAGAATGCATTCAGGAGCTGAAAGTTGTGGCAGTGATAAATTGTGTTTTTAATAAACAATGGTTGTGGATGAACCACAGACGACAGCAGTGAGATCTTTTACAGAGGGGTTCYGTAGACACAGTGAGAGCCATCTTATTGGGTGTTAAGCACCCCCTTGGGGTTTGGAGAGGCAACAAGTGCATCTCTACTTCTTAACTCCTCCCATTTTCCATCCTGACCCCCCCACCATGCGAGCCAGCTTTCTCCTGGCCCTTTTGTCAGCGGATTACTGATGGTTTAGAGAGCCTCATTGATCCCTCCCTCCCCTACCGAAACCACACARGGGGTTAAGGCTGTAGGACAAAGTGGAGACCACCCCCCACACAAAGATCTGAATTATAGAATCTATTCTATCTTTAGGCCTTTCTATTCCCCCCATTAGCTTCACTCAGAAATGGCCACAGAGTTATTCAGTGCCTGTGGTTTTCCCAGCAGGAATCAACAGCTTTATGCCAAAATCCAGATTTTCTGAGTTCCTAAAAACTACAAAGTTCAGACAAAGTCTTTGTCCTTTGTGCTGTTAAAGCACACGTGCGACCGTCCTTGTAACAACCTACACACAAAATAAACAAGAAAACAAGCCTGAGGTGACACCACAACCAGAACACACACCCTGAGAACTGTGAGGGACCACCGGCCGTCTCCTCCTCTACAGGTCTGTATCTGTCTCTGAGACATCCTATCTGTCTGTCCTGACCTGTGTTTGGGACCATAGGGGAACTTAAGTAGCTCTCGGAGGGGGTCTCTGGCACACTGCCCACTCAGTAATGACAGCGAGTCTGCCAGCTGCCGGCCCACCAGGTCTGCCTGTGCGGTGCTACAGTATTGATATTGAATCGGATTGCAGGGAGCTTGGCAGCCTTTTAATGAGAACTCAGATTGATCAGGCAGCAGCGGCTCGCTCTTGGATGCAGCTTCTGGGATGTCCCTGCAGGCCTGACCTCCCTCTGATCTCTATTACTGACTGAGAAACGACACAAACACACACCTTCACACACACACACAGGCCAACACGTTCACAAATATGAGAATGTTAAATATTCCTGAATAAAGGCTAACATTAAATATTCATATTTCTGGTGAGTGAAAATACTTTTAAATTTGCTTTGCAGACTTTTACAGACCGCTGCACTGAACTATTTACAGGCTCATTGTGTTTTTGAGATATATGTCTCATTTTGTGTCCAATATGCAATAAAACTAAGCTGCTTGAATATCCCATAGTTCATGGGTGAACTACAAAACTCAACTCTTTTTCATTTTGTCATACTTTGCTGTAAATGTATTACAGCACAGTCAAATTGCTCATTTCCTGCTTTTTTTGTAGCTTTAAACAAAATGTAAATGATGCTCWATGAAAAGGAAAGTTGTGTTTTTCCTATCCGTGTGTTGGTTCATCTGCTGTGTTAGAAAAATATCTGACGAACCACTCTGTGGAATTTAATGAAGCTCTGACAGTAATCATAGGTTAGAAATCTACAAGTGATCAGCTTGTTTAAGATGGCCACCACACCAAAACAACAGAAACACATGACTCAATTGATTTAACAACTATTGAGCTAAAATWATTTTCGCAGTAACTCAGAGTAACACCCACTGTATGTATTACAAGCCCTAACAGATGGAGTCAACTTTGTGTTAGCAAATTATTTTGTGAATCACTGGATGAATCTTTGTAAAATTTTCAGAAAATAATGAAAGGCAATGGGCAATATGCATCACTTTTGTTATTATATAATAAGAATAATAAAAGTA